GATCACATTAAAACCTCGTCGAGTCTTAGGCAATCCTGATATGAAATCCATACTCACTTCTGTCCATTTCCACTAGGGTTTTAGTTCATTATACACCCAAAAAAACTTGTGTTGAACAAGCTCTTAATCCTCTTTGGGAAGGTAATTTAAGGTTAATATCCATGCAAAAGATTAAATGTTATGAGAGTTTTAATTTAAGGTTAATATCCATGCAAGAACATGTGAATGCAATGACGGGACCTATTCTTTTAATCTATTTTCCAACGGTACTGTACTAACGGGTAATTTGGGCGTGTACCATATATTCTACACACAGCCCATACATGCGAGTATGGGCTCACCAGTCGGTTCACACACCACTGGGCCACTTTCCTTGGACGAGCATACTTTGGAAGCTCCTTAGGTCGAACACCCGTTAGAACTAGTAACCGTCACGACAACGCTATGTAAAACATAACAATCATTGTCTTGCCATTGGATGTACACGTCTGTACCCTCGTGATTGAATAGAGGTATTCCCCTAAAAGCATGAGCACACATAATGCATGAGGCCCCCAACCTTTCTACTTTTGTCATTAATGAATATAACCCTGCTATCATCTTCTATGTTTAACATGTCATTTCGCATTCTTAACTTTACGCATCATGCATAATCCTAACGGGGTTACATTTCATTTCATTTATCGTGATAACATGTCATTCATAACATATTGTATACATACAATTTAGAAAACATAACATAACACTCCATGCTTTTAACATGTCATTTCATAACATGCAATTCATTCAACAATTACCTTCTGGTCAATCAAAAAAATCTAAACATAACACCTCACATCACAATATATTGTTCATAAACATGTCATATCGTAAATACTTCGTGGTCATATCGTTCCTAACTTATCGTAGCCTAAACGTTATTATACCTATCACAGTCATATCGTTACGTGAACGTACCTTAGTCATATCATCGCAGGAACGTACCCTAACGCTATCGTTCTATCCATCTATCACAAACTTATCCCTGTCTACTCATATCCTAACCATATTCTTTCATCAATCTCTCCTATCCATAGCACTCCAGTATGTAACCTAACCTTAACGTTTCATGAACGTATCTTACTCCTATCGTTACATTTTGTTTTGTGCATCCTTCTTGTATCCAATCTCAAACATATCCTTAAACACATCGTACCACAATTAGTATCATACAATTCACATATTATAACATAACATAAACATAATATAAGCATATTGATTCACAGATAATTCACACATATCAGTATATATGACACGTGCAGAACCACAGGCACGTGTTAACATCAAGTATAACCATGTCGATAGTAAGACCACTTACCTGGTTAGCTTAAGTTGTTGTCATGAATATATCCTTAATGAAAGTTCTATTTGTTCTTTGAAATCAAAGTCAACCTATATGAGCCAATGACATCAGTTTCAAGTTTGAATTCTATAAAATTATTTCTCGAATTTACATGGTTACATTATTAAAAGTCTTGAAATGATTTTCTATAATTATATTTTTATTAAAAAATTTATTTTCCATGGTTCCTGTAGTATAAAAAAAATAGATAGTTATTTCAAATTATTCTGTGCTTTACTACCATATGTATTTATCTTTCTCTCTATATTTAGTTTGTGTTTTTTAATTTCTAAGGCTTACTGTTTTTTATATCTGTTTTTACTCTGTTGCCTTTTAATTTTGTTCTCATGTATAACAAATTTATAGTGAATCCTTGTTTCCAAATCTTTCCTTATTTTAGTGTTTACTGTTCACAAATTTTCTTGGTCATTCTATTTTTAATCTATTCATTTGACTACTGATATAAATTTAATCTTATATTAGTGAGATTTACTAGAATTCGTATAATGATTGACACTTAATTTCTAACTCAAAGCTAAACCATTGTAATAATTTAATGAACATCTATCTATAATTGGCTATGATTTCTAAAAAAAATAAAAGAAAATGAAGATTTTTAACATATATTTTATTTATTAAATCTATCTTCAAGTAAATCTAAAGAAAATCTCGACTGGGTAAAGACCATTCTCAGTTTTTTTACTCCAATCTGTTGTTTTTGAGTTTTCGTAAAGATGGCTTAAGGAGAGATAATTGTGGGAAGGGATGAGATGTTAGTGGAAAGTTTTTTTTTTTTTGGTTTATTTATTTATTTATTTATTATTATTTTAAATATTTTTTTATAATTATTTTTGTTGGTTTATTTCTTTATTTATTATTTTATTTATTTATTTATTATTTTTATTATTATTATTTTGCTATGACATTCGCATAACCATCATTTATTACATAAACTTCGAAAAACGCTTAAAACAACTATTCTCTAGAAAACACACCCATGTCCTTACGTATTTAAATACGAAATACTGAAACTAAGAGAAGATAAGAGCAATTCAAAATAATTTAAAATAATGAAATGCATAACAACCTATTCTAACCTAAACCTAGAAATTTAAATATGAATCTACCCTATGCACGTGCCACAGTCTCTGCTCGTGAAGCAGCCGTCCTCCGTACAAGTGCGCCTTGCCTTAACCTGAAAAATAATGTGGCACACGGCTTGAGTATTTCGATGAATGCTAAGTAAGTGGCCCCACTATTAGGGGGCCATGCAAATGAAAACACAAACAATCATTATTTAGGGACCTATCTATGTCTATCATCATAGGGGTGGCCTCCAGTCTTGGACAAAGAGAGTACATGAATGAGTAAAGATGACATTCGAAGGAAAGCAATCTAGAGTATAGATGAATGAGAAAATCTTAAAAAGAATTGAAAGTTACTACCTATATCAAAGAGGTGCACTTTCCTTTTTGGTGTTTCAATTATAGGAACTCCGAATTCAACTAGAGCAATTTTAAGTTGGGTGACCTTTTGAGAATTTTTGTAGCAAACACGTGATTGAGGACAAAACGTGTTAGAAGGACTCATGTTGGTTTGCGTTCATAGTTTTTACTATTAGAAGCGAGGAGTAAGTAACCTGACCATATCGTTTCGAATCTTGGGTATGAGTCCTTGCAATTAGAAGCTCAAAACCCGACCAAATTATAACATTAAAAGAATTCTGATATCCCAAAAGATTCCTCTCACTACTGTAGACTTCAAATATACAAAATCTTAAGTCTATAAAGAAACTCAACAACACTATGTTGAATTACTACATGGGTGAGCAATCCAACATAAAGGAATAAAGAAGCAGGTTTTTGTGGTTCGGGGATTTTATTTCATTTTTCCCAAGGGTGTATAATTCAAATATACCCGAAGGAATATTTATCAAGTAAAATCCATCATCAAATGCTACCTAAATGCAGTTTTTAAATTCACACCGTGGAGAAAGCTAATACTAGTTCCTGGGCCAAAATCCTCAAATGAAGCATGTCCATTCTAACCATTAAAATTGCACCAAAATAAAGTCGTACGCCAAAAGTTCATTGTGAAGCTCTAGTTGAATCGGGCATGCTTGTCCAAAATGCTTTTGCTCAAACGTCATCTCTTGACTTGCAATGAACATTTAAAACTTAGTTTGTTTGATAATTGTAGATAGCCACTTGCCATTCGCTCCATAGTTCTTGCCCTTTGCTCCCTATAGCTTGTATCTTGGATCCTGCAAAACGTGTATTAATAATAATGGATCCTTCAATTTTTTTTTAGATACTCGAGGCTCTTTTGTTGATGCTTAGCCATTTAGGTTTTTGTTCATTATACACCCAAAAAAAAGTTGTGTGGAACAAGCTCTTAATCCTCTTTGGGAAGGTAATTTAAGGTTAATATCCATGCAAAAGATTAAATGCTATGAGAGTTTTGAGTTTGGATATCCGTATGTGTCGCATAGTTATAAATATCAATTCTTTTTTATTTGCTATTTTTGATTGAGATGAAAAACAAAGTTGTCCTAATTTTAATTAAAAAAAATAAAGGAAACCACAAATGAGACTGTTTGATTTTCTATATTTTCTCCTTAATTAGCACAAATTATCTCAAGCACATTAACCCAGTGTTATAAATGGTTCTTGACTATATTTATCATATTTTCTTGGCATTGAACAGGAAATAAAAATAGATAAGACAGAAGAAAAATAGATAAGAAGTAATACTCGAATTTTTTGATAAATAAATAAATAAATAAAATAACAACATATGGGAAAAAGGGTCTCTTACAAAGGGACTAGTTGTTTTGGATCTAAGAAGAAGTAGAAAAAGAAAGAAAAGAAAAAGAGAGAGAGAAAGGAGAAAAGAGAAAGGAGAAGAAGTTAGGGTTTGGGAGAGAGGAATGGTAGAGAAGACAAATGTTGTTGGAGATCTAATCCAAGGCAAGAAACTTCAAAGCAATACTCCTCTCGGTGCTAGAAAAGAAGTTTGGGTGGTGGATCCACACATTCCAGCAAGAAATCTAAGAACGAACAAAGTAAGATTCTGAACTTCGTGTTTCGATTTTATCTAGATCTAAGAAATTTCATGAGCGTTAGATCTGGAGTTTTTGAGGTATGTAACTAAAATAAGATTCACACAGGTTTTTTGAAGTTTCTGGACGAAAATTGGAGTTTCAAGAAAACGTTATTTTCGGTAAGAACTCTGTTTTTCCCCAAGTTCGAACTCAAATAATAAGACTTGTGATTACCAAAAAACAATACAAGAAAAATATATTGTAGAAGTAGAATATGAGATCTATAATATTCATGAAGAGAACTTGTTGATTCACTTTACGGATTGGAAGATATAAAAATCAGAAGAAAATGGATCGAAAACGCCAAAACTCACGTTTCTGGAAAATTGGAAAAAAACGCAAGAAGAGAGAGGAGGAATCGCCGCCACATGTCCACCGACGTACGGAGGAGCGCGGCAGGACCAATGAGCGACACGTGGCGACCGCAGGCTGGAGAAGCGCATCAGGCACGCACAATCGGGTCGGCCTGAGTCCGAACCACTCGAACCGGCCCGACCGGTCGCTAGCCTGCGACTACGTGGGAAGTCTCGCGTAGTACACCCTCCAGAGCGTGTCAGCGCGCGTGTAGGCGAGTGAGTGACCGTTATCCCTCCATTCGACCTCCGTTTGCTTGTTCTTTGCCTCGATTTCAACTCTGATCCTATTTTTATGTGAATTAGAACCTATCAAGGAAATTCCAAAATTTTTGGAACCTTTTCCGGCAAATGATTCGAGCTTGGGAAGGCACGCGTCAACCATGTAAGTAGCCATTTGAATTCCCACGAGCAGTACTTGTAGGAACCGCTAGGAACATGCATGCATGCTACCACCCATAAAATTAGCTAGCCGGACTTAGCATATTAGTACGAAAACTGTGCAAATAAAATGATTAAGGAAAGCTAGATATGAAATATTTATTAAATCTGTTTTGATTGAGATTCTGATAAAGTATGTATGCATGAGGAGGATGGAAAACTTATGAAATCTGCGCTCCAGGTAAAGGTGGACGTTATCTTCCCGTTGAGCATGTTTGTTAATATTACATGAGCTACTGCGTGTTAACTCCTATGCATGATGATGGCTTGTGTTATCTTTCTTGATGAACAGGGAGAAATTATGAGCTTAGATTAGGGTATTTGTGACTAGGTAGGCTAGATGAGACCCTAGATTGGGGGATCTCTAGAATACCGTGTATTTTGACCCGCGAAACGATTACCAGCGGATCTAGAGCCCAAAATTCGAAACCTGATAGGTTTGTGAGACCTTGCACGAGAATCCTAAAGATGCATGAATCCAAGTCTAAGCCACCAAGTTCCACCCTAGAAAGAATAGTAGGTCACCACGGTAACTGTAGGTAGCCCGCTAGAGTTTAGCAGTGTGGATAGTGTCATCAGAACCTCCACTACCCTCTCTGCTCCGATACCGTACCGTTGAGACAGAGCTCCGGTACGGAGATCGTTGAGCTTGGCAGATCCGGATAGGGAAGTGTGAAAGGTGCCCAGACCTAGTGGTGTTAGTTAAGAGGTATTCTGAACAGGTTTCTTGGGCCGTAGAAACCCGTCCCTAAGCAGGGGACGTGGAGCCACGTAGGATAACTCAGTAGTTGACCGACACACAGGGGGTCGCACCCCGTTTAGTGGATGTATGGTCCCATGTGAGGGTCGTCAACTAACCTCCACGGATGATGTTCAGAGAGAGTCACGTATTCAGATCCAGCCATATGATCCCCTCAGATTTACTTATGAGGTCGCGCCTCACCTCAGGACACTGATCATTTCACTGCATAAGATAGGCAAACCTCTTAAGATACAGAAAAAAGAGTTGTAGCATGATTTGCACTCACTAGAATCCAGAGATAACACCGTGTATACCCACTAAGATAAGGATGCGAAAAGCGCCTACAAGTAGGTTGCTTACTGAGTATATTTTTATACTCACCCCTTTCTTCCTTTTTTTTTCAGGTACCAGTCGATACGGGAAGGTGTTCGAGAGCTGCACTGTCACAGAGGGGTGTCGTTCCAGAGCGTTAGTCCCTTGTCGGTCTTTTAGAGTCCTTCGTTCGTTTTCATATTTGGAGTTTTTTGTATTTCATTTTATATTTGCAATTCCTATTTGTAACATTTGACTTTGATTTTATATTTAATTTTGGCGTCCTTGATTTCCTTTTCTTGTTTTAAAATTTTCCAGATTTTTACCTTCTATTTTATTTTTTTATTTTTTTATTTGTTTTAGATTTCGTCTTTTTAGTCACGATTCGGTCTTTTGAAGCCTTGAAAGTCAGGTCCTGACAGATTGGTATCAGAGTAGTCGGGTTTTTGATTCTGTAGACTTTTCCTAGGATAGAGAGTCGTACACCTCTATGACTCAGCTCCACGACATGCCTCACCCCGACCAGGTACGCAATCTAACCTTGTTTAGTAGGTTATGATATGATGTAACGCTAGTAAGAACTTGATGTATGTTTTGGGTTAACACTTTAGGGTTAAAAGTGAACATTCCCTCTATATGTTGATTTTAGATTCGGGTTATTGTGAGGAGGCCGAGAGGGCTCTTGTTTTAGTTTTCTAGCCTTAGAAGACAGAAAGGTAACTCCGCAGAGTGCGTGACGTCCAATACATAGAAATGTACATGAGACTTTTTAAGGCCCAGTATGAGATGATATACCTATGACCCAGC